AGAGGGGGGGTGTCAGCCGCCCTTCCCCCCCCCCCCCACTTGTTCTCAGCCCATGAGGGAAAAGGGGTCACAGGAGGAGAAAAAGCACCCCTTGGAGGTTTCAGAAACAGCCTCTCCCTCAGGCCTTCCCCTCAGCCCTGCTGCTTCTGTGGGAAATGCAGGAGGGATGAGAACTGAGTTGGGGGAGCTCTGGGAGAACCAGGTTCAGACCCCCCCCTTCCTGAGCCAGGACCTGCCATCTGGGTCACCCAGGGATGGTTGCTTAGCCTGGCCCACCCTACCATATGTCATGGATGATGACTCATCTCCTAAAAGTGCTCTCTATATATACAAAAAGTGATTAATTTGTATGGAAATGTAAGATACCCCCCCTTTTATGGTATCCCTTGGGGAAAAATTATTAAATACATTTTAATTTATTTTATTTTAAATGATTAAATAATTTATTGGGGCTTTTATGGATTCCCCAGTAAATCAGTTGCTTTCAGTTCTAGGAATCAATTGCTTTTGTTTGTATTTTGAGTAAAAAAAAAATTGTTAATTGGGTTTGTCTGTGTCATTTATATAGCTTGTATCTCCAGTATCTGGCATTACATTCTATGGCACACATGGCCCCGCCTGACAGAGTAACATTTACGTCAGATCCGGCCCTCTTAACAAATGAATTTGACACCACCGACTAGAGTTTTCTCTCACACACCCTGCCCACTGGCATCCCCAATCTGCTTCCTACTCAATCTGACTGACCTACCTTCTTTGTTTTCGTCAAGTCTTTATAGCATCATCAGTGTCCATGGGACTTTATAAAGTAGTTTAAATGGGAGGTGGAAGGAGAGGCTGCTGCTCTGAGGAATTTACCAACTAAATTTTGACTGCAGGGGAGACAATGATGGAGAAAGAAAAGTAAATGCAAAGGTAACTAGGGGTGAATGCAAGAATTTATTTTATTTTATTTATTTATTTGATTTGTATCCCGCCCTTCCCAGATGGGCTCAGGGCGGCTTCCAACAGCGGCAAATGCCATAACAAACAGTTAAAACAGTATAAAACAATCAATAAATAAAGTGCGGTGCTCTAGATATTCTTATCTTTCCAAGATGGGATCCTTTTATCACCTAGCCTGACAACATAGGTTCTTGGTCACCTAGGCGTCTTCCTATGGCCGGTTCACTTATAGATCTAATCCACCGTCATAGATGGCAACTTGGTGGTGGCACAATGGTGGTGGCGGCTCCTATGCAAAGGCCTGGCGGAAGAGCTCCGTCTTACAGGCCCTACGGAACTGTGCCAAGTCCCGCAGGGCCCGGATCTCCTCTGGAAGCTCGTTCCACCAGACAGGAGCCGATAGATAGGAGAAGATAGTACCTTCTACTCTTATTTTATTAATCCAATAAAGTGGGTGCTGACTTGTGAAACCCAGTGCCATAATCTATTTGTCCATCTTTAAGGTGCCGCCACCTGGACCTGGATACCCAGGCTACCCGAGTCTCATCAGATCCCAGAAGTTAAGCAAGGTTGGCCCTGGTCAGTATTTGGAAGGGGGACCACCAAGGAATTAGATGGGGAGCAGGCAATGGCAAACAACCTCTGAACATCTCTTGTCTTGAAAGCCCCATGGGATGACCATAAATCAGATGTGACTTGATGGCAAAAAGAAAAGAAAAGAAAGAAAAAGATGTGACCAGACTCTTTGTTGATTTGGTCACAGTACATTAACATGGCTACCCCTCTGGATTGTATTTAACATATTCCCCTCTTTCCCCTCCCCTCATTAATTTTTTCTCCTCCAGATGTTCCTTGATATGTTCTCCCTCAGATCATGCAGTTCTGGATTAAAGGTCACCATTTCCTATTTGGTTCTCTGAAATACATGGCACCCCATAAAAGGTGACAGTGTTGTGTCACTAGAGAGGGAGAATCCAGCAGGAAGTTCTCTGGTCTTGTGGAAATCCAGATCGAAAGTGGTCTGCCCTGTCTGGGTTGTAGGAACAGGGAGCCTAAGGAAGTTTGCATCACAGCAGAGGAGTGATTCTCTTGCTGCTTGTCTTCTGGAATGTGGCATTTTGACAGAGAGAACTTGGGGCTGCCCTGAGTGCCTGTCTGTTCTCAGTGAGTCCTCTCCACCTGACAGCTCTTCCATTCAAGGTCACTGCAGTAAATTCATATGTAGCTTCCTGGTGCTGCTGTCTTATCTACCACACAGTTTCTGTTTCCCTCTCTTTGTATTCCTGGGGATATTGTGTTTGATAAAAACTTGCTGCTTTTAACAGCCTTGGCATTACTCCAGGTACACTCTCTTTTCCCGCTCCTCTTACCAGGGTTAAAATGATAAGTGCCAGGGCTCATTGCAGCCTTGAAGTCCTTGTGTCCTCTGTTATAGGACCATTATTACCACGTCTGCAAAATATGAGGACTGTGCTAAGGACCAAGTCCTTTGCCTGTGCCCCAGGGCATGCGAGGGTTCCATGCAGTATGGGACCATGGTACATAGGAAGACTTCTCCCCCCCCACATGTGCTATTTCCCCCAATTGGGAACAGCCTGGGGGGGGAGGGGCTGTTTGACCGGGTGTTGGAAGCCTAGGTGTACCCCATCAGTACACGTGGAGCCTCCAATGAGGCAAATACTAGCAGGCCTCCCCGGGGGGACTGATTCGGGTTGGGAAAACAGTGCAGGGGAGGGAGGCTGAAGCCCCTTCTTCTTTTACACCATGGTCCTGATTGCGGTTCCCAGCACATACTCAAAACACAACTGCTGCTTGCATAAACTCAGGAAGGTCCCAGGGGGAAAATGTAACATGTAGTTAGGCCAATTATTGCTTAGTGATCATTACTGCACGTAGTCCACCTGTGTCACTCAAGACAGGTTTATGAGGCTGTACCAGGTGAACAGTAGTATATTATGCCTTGCCCCCTGGCACTTAAGAGATTCTCTTTCTGTATACATTTGAATTAAAATGTCTAGGAAAGGGTTTTAAATCTATGTATTTCTCAGCCTTAATTAACTCAGTGCTGTTGCTGCACCTATACCTGGAGCTGCTCCTGAGAAAGGAGCCAGGTGTTTGGGAGAAAGGAATGTCCTGACCCAAGACTTAAGTTTAAAGGACTTTCAGCAATTGCACAGTGTTTGCCAGAAGGGGAGGCACTTTCACAAGGTGGAAGCTTATCTGTAACCTTGGAGGAGCCAGAAGGAGAATGCTGATCTCTGGATCTGGCATGAATGTTGCTTC